AACACAGAACGCTCTTCCCAAGCCTCTTTTTCTCTGGAGCTGGTCCCATCAGTCTGGGGACCATGCTGCAGGTGGCTTACCTGGGCCCCGGCGGCCAGCAGCAGTTGCACGCACTGCGCCTGGCCCTGCAGGCTGGCCGCGTGCAGGGGCGTGATGGAGTCCACCATGACCTGGTTGACGCAGGCCCCGCTCTCGATCAGCTGCTGCAGCTGCCGTGTCTCCCCCCGCTGGGCTGCCTCGTGCACGGGGGTGTGCTCCACCCAGAAACCTGGAAAGAAAAACATGCGGTGCTAAGAGCACGTCACTTCTGTCCAGGTCAGATGAAGCCCAGGACCCTTTACGAAACCCAAGCCATTGTATACACGATGGTGTAATTGCTCCAAACACCCCTACTCAAAACCCTTGAGTGATCCCCACTGCCCGGGGGTGGAGTCCAAGTCTTTGGTGAGGCCTACAAGGTCCTTCATGATCTGGAGTTTGCTCACCTCCTTGACCCATCTGCCACCACTGCCCTACACAAGCCCACTCTCTCCAGCCACACAGCTGGCTCACTGTGGCCCCCTGCCCTTGCACACCTCTGCACACATCTCTGCATATATTCTCTCTGCCTGAGAAGCCCACCTTTGCCCCCACCCCGATCATCCATTCTGCATCTCCTGTTTAGATGTTATGTCATCCACGTGGACCCATCTGAAATAGCTCCTTCTCCGGAAGACACGTCTCCCACAACCCTGACATCTACATGCTTATAATGCAGCACTTATACTGTCCCCGCTCCTGTCCTGGGAGAGCCTTCAAAGTAGGGACTTGATTTAATTATTCAATTCTAGCGGAAATCTCAGGATTTCCTACATACAAAATCACGTCATATGCATTTAGATAGAGGTAGCTTTGCTTCTTCCTTTCTAATCTGAATGCCTTTTCTTTTTCTTGCCTAACTGCCTTGGTTTGAACATCTAGCCCCACGTTGACCAAAAGTGCTGAGAGGCACCTCCTGCCATGTTCCTGGTCCTGGAGCTTTGTCCTTCACCACGAACCATCATGTGAGCTGTGGGTTTTCATAAATGCCCTTTATCAGGTCAAGGAAGTTCTCTTCTATTTCTAGTTTGTTGAGTCTTTTTATCATGAGAGGGTGTTGCATTTTGTCAAGTACTTTATCTGCATCTATTGCAAAGATCAGGCTGGCTTTTTTTCCTTAATTCTGTCAAAATGCTGTATTACATTGATTGATTTTCAGATGTTAAACCAACCATGCATCCCTGGGATGAATTCCACTTGGTCATGGTGTATAATCTTTTTTATACATTGCTCAATTTGGTTTGTGCATATTTTGAGAATTTGGGGGTCTACATTCACAAGTGTCATTTTTCTTGTGATTGGTGTATTTGTCTGGTTTTGGCATCAAAGTAATACTGGACTCAGAGAATGAGTTGGGAAGTATTCTCTCTTTTAATTTTTGGAAGAGTTTATGAAGAATTGGTATTACATCTTTAAATATTTGGTCAAATTCATCTGTGAAGACATCTGGGCCTGAGCTTTCATTTATTTAAGTTTTTTTAATAATTCAGTCTCTTCATTTGTTATAAATCTATTCAGACTTTTTTTAGAGTCCATTTTGGTAGTTGGTAGTTTGTCTTTTTTAGGAATTTGTCCACTTAATGTACATTATCTAATTTGTTGGCATACAATTTGTTATGGACTGAACTGTGCCCCCTGCCACAAAATCCATATGTTGAAGCCCTAACCCCTCATACCTCAGAATGTGACTGTATTTGGAGATGTAACTTAATTACAGAAGTAATTAAGTTAAAGTGAGGCCATTAGTGTGGGCCCTAATCCAATCTGACTGGTGCCCTTATAAGAAGAGGAGATTAGGACACACAGACACCAGGGATGAGTATGAACAGAGGAAAGACCATGTGAGGACATGCAAGAAGGCGCTGTCTGCAAGCATAGGAGAGAAGCCTCAGGAGAAATCAAGCCTGCTGGCACCTTGATCTTGGGTGTCCAGCCTCCAGAACCTCAGAAATAAATGTGTTGTTTAAGCCTCCAGTCTGTGGTGTTCTGGTATGGCAGCCCAAGCAGACTAATAAACAATTGCTCACAGTATTCCCTTATAATCATTTTATGTCTGTAATGTCCATAATAACATCCCCTCTTTCATTGCTGACTTTGTAATTTGAATCTTTCCCCCCCACACACCCTTGGTCCGTTTAACTAAAGACTTGTCAATTTTGTTGATCTTTTCAAAGAACCAACTTCTGTTTTGTTGATATTCTGCATTGTTTTTCTATTCTCTATTTCATTATTTTCCTCTCTAATCTTTATTATTTCTTTCCTTCTGCTTTCTTTAGGTTTAGTTTGCTTTTTTATTTCCAATGTCTTAAGGTGAAAGGTTATTAGGTTATTGATTTGAGCTCTTTCTTCTTTTTTTAATGTAAATGTTTACAGCTATAAATCTTCTCTAAGTATGGCATGAGTTGCAGCTTATAAGTTTGGTATGTTATCTCTTCATTTTCATTCATCTCAAACTATAATTATTTATTTTTGCATTACAACCTCGTAAAATACATATTCAACAACGATGCGTTGATTAAGAAATAAACAAAGGCACGACTCCTCTCCCAAAAAGGAGTAAAATTCTCTAACATCCCCCCTTTCTTCCACAATGCCTTACCTCTCCCTCTCCCCTGCCCTCAGCTCTAGAGAACCAGGTGCACGAGATGCAGCACCCTGACCTCCCATGTTTTAGCCAAGGGTTCTCAAACTGGAGCTTCCATCAGCATCGCCTGGAGGGCTTGTGAAATCTAAGGCTGCTGAGCCCCACCCCCAGAGCTGAGTGGGTCTTGGTGGGGCCTGGGAATCTTAAGTTTCTGAAAAGTGCCCAGACGATGCTGATGCAGCTGATCTGGGGACCACACTTGAGAACCGACACCACTTCTCCCTCTGAACAAAGAAAGGCCCCTTCTCTCCCCACCTCTGGCCTCTCTATCTCACCTTCCACCTCTCCCTGTTCATCCTAGATAACGCCTACTTGTTCCTTTCCTGACTGAAGTGCAGTGGTCAGGTTTGCAGGAGGCCTTGCCCAGCCTCAGCCCCATCCGTGCTGGGTGAGCCCTTCGTCTGTGCCTCCACCAGGGCTTACTGTGCTGTGGTCCCCACCTGGTTGCCTGCCGTGCAGCAGAAGTAGACTAGTAGTGCCGTGCATCCATCCCACCCAGACAAGCAGTCTAAGTTGATCACAGGATTCCCATTTCCCGTAGGACGTCTGATCCAACTCCAGTGAACGACACATGAGGGAGAGGCTGCTGAGAGCGTTCACAGTTTCAACACACCCCTCGCCCCCGATGTTGCCTAGACGTGAGCTGGGAAGTGCCGTGGCCGTCGGACCACCTGCCTAACGTCGGCTCTGAGGATGGGAAGCACCAGGTGAGTCACTGGTCACGTGGGGCCTGCAGCCCTGACAGCCAGGCTTCCTGTGGTGTGAGGGTGATGTTTCTTTACGGTTTAAGCCAGGTGCAGACAAACGCATGCAAACTCAGAGTGTAAACTCCCCAGATGCAGAAACTACAGGATGTTTTCTCAACACCCGTCAGAGCACCTGGGATACAGGGCAGTCTTCTAGACACTCTTTTAAAACGTCATAAATGACAACAGTGCTAGATTATGCTGACACATCCTTACTGTCAAGCCCCAACTTCGGCAGACGACTACATTACACACCTATTCACAATAAGCAGTTTCCTTTTATTATAACTACATTTTATTATCACATCTCCCTAGAAAACCTTCTGATCAACCACATGGTTCCCAAGTCTTATCAGAAGCACTTTCACAAACCATATCTGGGGTGAATGTATTTCCTTGGCAGATGGATAACCTCCTGGGTTATGTGTTGATGACTGTCCCCTCTTGGAGATCCCCTCATTTCCGCCGACCTACAGCCCTACCCCACCCCCACAGTGGAGCCGCATGATGCGTGGCTCAGGGTTCTCCAGAGCCAAACCGCTCAGGGCTAAAACTCAGCGCGGCCATTTATTAGCTTGTGCGAGAAATAGCTTCCCTGACTGTCAGTTTTGTCACCTGTAAATTGGGATAATAATATAGTTCATTCATTGGTGGGTTATGAAAATTAAATGAATGAAAGTAAAAGCACTTAGGGCTGGGCCCAGCACAGAATAAGTGCTCCATAAATGGAGTCTATTTGTGGTATTTTAACCCCCTCATTGTACCTAACTGTGTGACCCCACAGGGGTCATGGGGGGCCAGGGAAGTGAAGGGAGGACTGGAACGCAGAGGAAGATCTGATCCCCACAAATGTAAAAGCCAAGCTTGGGGAACTTCTTACTTACTGTCCCAGGATTAAGTAAGCCAAGCTTGGGGACCCCAGTATGTCTCCCAGTCGTGATGAATGGCCGCCTGCATGCCTGTCTTGCGGGGTGGGTAGTGGAAAGCAGCTGTGGATCACTCTCAAGTCAGTCTGGAGGGAGCAGAACCCCAAGGGCAGACTGAGTAAAAAGAGGAGAGCAGGGTGAGTCCTGGGTCCTGCAGGAAGGAGGAAAGTGCAGCTCAGGAAGGCGGTGCAGGGAAGGCCTGAGCATCCCTCAGCAGCCCGTGCAGGTAGATGCAGCCTCTCCCACTGCGTTGCACAGAGACGGATGGACATGGCAATCAGCAGGTCACAGTCATGGGCTGGGGAGGGTGGGGAAACAATTCAAAACAACAGGACAGGACGACTGCGATGGTGGTGGAACAGGTCACGCTACGGGAACTTAGAAGCAAGACAGCCCATCAGGAAAGCATCACCGAGGAGGCGGGGCTGCAGTGAGCCTGCTGGGCATCACTGGCTTGGCTCTATTCCCAGCACCTGGCACAGTGTGAGGCCCAAAAAAGATGCTCATGTCACTTGCTTGTCGAGTGCATAAGGGACGAATGAATGGAAGGAATTACTAATGTGAATGATAAAGTGTGGACATAAAATTTTTTAAAGAAAATCTAATTCCATCTCCTTATGACCAGTCTACAGAGGAAGTGCAACTTACTGGGAACCGTATTTTCTAGTGAATAAACATCAGCTGCAGTTGTCTTAGCAGCAACTGAGGGCAGAGATCAGAAGCAGCAGGTGTGATAACACAGGAGAGCATTGTGTGCATCAAAGAGCACAGTCAACAGTGAAAAGGCACCTATAGGATAGGGAGGAATATTTGTAAACCATGTATATCAGAATATATAAAGAATGCCTACAACTCAATAACGTAAATAACTCAA